ATCATTAAACTTGAAGTCCAGCTGGAAAGTATTAAGGGGAGTTCAGAGGAGCTATTGCATACATTTTCCAAGATCTCAAACCCACAAAGAAACCAGAAGTGTAACTTTGCAAAGATGAATGACTGAGAGACTCTGAACAAGTAAGAATCAGCCAGGTTTTATCTTGATTACAAATAATCCTGAAATCTCAGTAGGTTGGGCTTCCTTAGTGGTTCAGATGGTAACGAATCTGCCTTCAATGCAGGATACTCAGGTTCAATCCCTGGGTTGGGAAGATCCCTTGAAGAAGCGAATGGCTACCAACTCCAGTATTCTTGCCTGGAGAATTCCATGGGCTAAGGAGCTTGGTGGGACGCAGTCCATGGGGTCATGAAGAGTCAGACACGACTAAGTGACTAACACATTATGACAAGAAAAGGTTATTTTTTGCTAATGCAAAATGACCACTTAGGTTGGCTGGTAGGGGTACGGGGCTCACCCTGGTCTTCAGGTTAAATTAGCTGCTTTATCCAGCACGGTAGCAGATGAAAAGGGCGCACATGAAATCATACACTCGCTCTTAAAGCTTCCACCTGGAAATGACATATTTCTGTCTGCATTTCATTGGCCAGGACAAATCTCATGGCCACATCTGATTCAAGGGGAGTATCGAACTGTGTTCCTCACATGTGCCCAGAGGGAGAACAACAAACTTTGGTGGCTAGCACAGGGGAACTTAAGGAAAACAGTGGTGAAAGCCACCTAAGAAAGAATGTTCTAGGGGTGGAGGATGGCACTGGGGCTTAAACCTATGTGGATACTTAAGGACTTATTCATAAGGATGGTGAAGAGGAGAATAAGATTTAATATATAATGTCATAAAAACTGTTGGAATAGCTGGCCAATTTATGTTGTGAAAATTTTGGTGAAAAACACCATAGGATCTCCTGTCGAATATTACTAAGTCACACTAAGATAGAGTATGAAATGTGTTTGCCATCCTCCTTAACTCTCATCCAGAGACTCAATAAAAGCTCTATATGTTACTTCTAACTCATTTTTTAAAAAGGTGATTCTGATAGAATTTCCTGTTGCTTTGCTGTCTGCTGGTATTAGACTCAAAGAACTTTTCTTATGAATATGTACAAGAATTTTACACAAGAGATATGATCCTATACTTTATTTAGTAAAATATATAATTGTAGACTATTACCTAGAAAATAAACTAGAATAAATATTTTTCATTGCGCAGATGGCCTCTTTGCCAGGGAAAAGTCTCATTTTGTAGCTTCATTCTCTGAAGACAGTGGACTCCTCCCCTTAAAAAGCACGTGTCTGAAAAGTGTCTTAGGTTGAGCTCCTGCAGAAGCTGACCTTGAGACCAGGATTCAAGGGCAAGTACTGTGGCCTGTTTGGGATGCAATGGCAGCAAGCACTAGAGGTGCCAGGAGATAGGTAAGGAAGGTAGCCAACACAGGGCTCCTTAGAAAGGGAGTTAATGCTGTGGTTAACTGAGGTCCAAAGATGGGGACCTGGGGGAGACAGTGTAGAACACAACTTAGTAAGTCTAGTCCTACCTCCAGGTGGGGAACCTGGGGTAGTTTTAAACTGACTTTCATCTGCTGCTGTTGTTGAGGGCTTCTCTGAAGGGCATCATCTGCCTGGCACTTCGAGCCTGTACCCCTGCACTGGCCAAGTGGAGTTTTCTGTTCAAGAAATCTCTTGAACAGGGAGGCAGAATACGGAGACACAGGCTAGAAGTCGTGGATAACCTACTGTAGGGATGACAGGTGTGGAGTCCCAAGTGGAGCGCCCACATTGTCAGTTCAGAGAAGATACTTGGGTTTCTAAGCCCATTTGTATATCCACCTTTGAGCCTGGGGATTCCGTGGTGGCTCAGTGGTAAAGGATCCGCCTGCAGTGTAGGTGACATGGGTTTGATCCCTGGATGGGGAAGATCCCCTGGAGGAGGGCATGGCAACCCACTCCACTATTCTTGCCTGGAGCATCCCATGGACAAAGGAGCCTGGCAGGCTACAGTCCATAAGGTCACAAAGAGTTGGACACCACTGAAGTGACTGATCATGTATGCATGGACGCATCCACTTTTGAGCCTAGATTTTAATTAATTTAACAATAGTAGTAATATGGTGCCCTCTGAGAAAAAATGGCATCCTTTTCAAAGGTAGCAGTGGCTAGTATCATACTGGGAGCAGCCCATGATTGGAGGTGGTGGAGCTCTGACTAGTAAAGGACCAAGATGCTTGGGAGGAAATCACTTAGTCTTGCAGCAGGCTGGGAAAGAGAGAGACCTCAAACAGCCCAGGTGGGAGTGTTCCAGAAAGCTGGGAGAAAGCCTTCTTGAAGCCACACTGACTGTTCACCTGGCAAATGGCCCTTCCCTTCATTCCTTGAGAAAACAGAGAAACAAACAGTACATTTTTTTTTTTTAATGGTTTGGTAGTGTTTCAATAGATTCCATTAATCTGCTATGACAGTCATGATTTAGAAGTCAGCAACTCTTCGAGTTACCCCACAGCGAATACTTTTGTGAGGCAGCAGAACTGAATTGTCTCGAAGTACTGACTTTTTCGTTCTTTCCCAAGCCGATCCCTGAAGATAGCGGAAAGTAAGGGTTTGTCGCGCGGGGCGGGTGGGTGGTGGGTAGACTTCTCCTAAAAAGAGAATTCTGGAAGTCATCATAATTAGACAAAGAGGAAAATGTGCCAGACAGGAGTGGGTGGGGGCTGTTTTCTCCTGTGGTTGGTCGTGGTGCGTTGAAGATCCCTAACCTCAGATGAAGCTTCTGAGTTTCCAGTAGGCGAGCGGCCGCCCAGGAGACCCGAGGCTCCGGGAGAAGGCGGCGCAGGTGTCCGGGCTCCGGGCAGGTGAGCGGGCGACGTACAAGAAGGCGGGCCGGCAGGCCCCGGGGCCGTGATTGTGCGGCCTCGCGGCCGCGGGCCGAGCTCGGCGGGCGGGACGGGGCGCGCCGGCACCCGGCCCGACGGGCGCGGCCACACTGGCGCTCGCTCCCGCGCCCTGGCCTCCCTCCGCAGGTCCGAGCCGCAGCCCTCCGGCCGCATCTCTATTTGTTACCTCTTCCCTCGACCTCAAGACCCAGCCCTGCAGGCGCCCAAACTAAAGAAGCTCCCTTAAGGGAGCGGCGGAAACCTGCGTGCCTCTCGCCCTGGCACCGCGGGTCGCCCCGAGCGCGGGCCGGGACCGGCGGCGCCTGGAGTGGTCCTCCGCGTCCGGGAGGGGACGAGGACAAGGGGCATCTCTGGTCCCCGCGTGCGATTGTCCCCATTTCTTCTTCTGTTCCCTGCGCAGCGCGCGCGAACTCTGGGGGGAAGTTGGTTGCAAAGTTTCCGAGGGCGGCGTGGGCTCCAGCGAGCGAGGCGGAGGGCGGGGTGCGGGCGCGGGGAGGCGAAGACAGACGCGCTCCTCGCGGCGTCTTTGTTCCGCTTCGGGGGAGAGACCTGGCGAGGAGTCGCCCGGGGAGGACCGGGACTGTCCGCTGCGACATTCCGGGCTCGGCGGGGGCTCTTCGCTCCCTCCCCCATCTCCTCCTTATGCCATCCCCCAGCCCCCACCCAGCTCCCGACCTTGGTCCCAAGTTTCCAGGCCTCCTTCTGCCTCATCCCTTTACCCCCCACAAACTGCACCAACCCAAAGACCCCCAAGTCTGGGATGGGGAAGGAGAAGGGATGGGGGCGAAGGTGTGCGATGGGTCCAGTACCTCCTGAAAGGTGGATGTTTGCTTTGGAATTTTTTTTTTTCCTTTGCCCTAGAAACTGCTTTCCATTGCGGGCCCCCATTCTCTCCCGTTGCCCCCACCCCCGGCTTCCCTTCCCTTCAGTTCTAGTAAGATCCTGAAGGAAAATGAGCGCTACTCTGAGTCACTCCCAGCGCCAATACTGTGGCCCGCAGTTGGGATGAGCGTCTAAGGATAGGGGACGTGAGGATGGGGGTCCCCAGTTCAGACAGTCGGGGAAACACTGGTAAAGGATCTGGAGGAGGGTCTGGAGCTGTTCTTGGTTCGGGACACCCGATTTGCCTGGGCAAGGCAGCGGGGGAGAAGGCGGAAAGACGGGATGCTTGGAGTTGCCAGGGGGTAGAGGTCGGGGAGGCGGCCAGGGACCCTGAGTCCGATTTTTGGAGCGAGGACAAGGCAGTGGTGCAGAGGAGGGAACCGGTGAGGAGCGCTTGCCTCCAGGGTCAGAGGGAGCGCGGTCACCCGGAAAGCCTTGCCGTCGCGGTCTGTGGTTCGGAGAAGTTTGGGGCCTGAGGGGTGGGCGCGATGCTCGAGGTGGGAATCTGCCCTCCGCGCCCTGGACCAAGTCGCGAAGCGCCTGCAGCAACAGGTAGTCCCGAGGGGTGGAGGTCCCGGTGAGCCCCCGCGCTGGGCTTCCTTCTCTGGATTAGAGGCAGTTCCCAAGGGACAGAGTGGGTGGTGGTGGTGGGCGAGGGGCGGCAGACTTTTCTAACACTTCTTGACGCCCCTTTGAGTTCTTTTGGTGTGCCGGGTGGAGAGGGCGATCCCAGTGGAGGAGCCAGGATGGAGAACCGAGGGGCCCCCCACCTCTAGTTGTCTACGCGCCTGGATCTTTTGGGGTGAACCCCTTTACCCCTCTCTTCTGGTCTCCTGGGATGAGGGGAAACTGACAGAAACTCGATGCCAAAGTGAATTGCTCACATTGATTGGCAGGGAAAGTGCAAACAAAGAGGTGCATCTCCCGGAAACAATGATTTTGGAGATTCCTCTCTCTCTCTCTCCCCCCTCCCAGTAGACTTGAGCGCGTTAGACTGGGAGGCAGTAAAAGGGAGGTGGGTGTGGAGGGGCCCAGACGGGCATCTCCCGGGGAAAGTTTCGAGCGAGGTCGTGGGCGGAGAGGGTCGGGGCAGAGTTGCCACGAGCTGGGGCCGGAGCCGCCCCGGCTCGCCTCCCAGGTTTCCGAGCCGGGCGGGAGATGCGGGGAGAGGGAGGGGGCGGGGAGGGGAGGGGAGGGAGAGAGGAAGAAGGGGTGAGAGGAGAAACCTGCCGCCGCTCGCCGCCTCTTTGTCTGCTCCGGGACTTGGAACAAAAGGGGGAACTCTGATGAACTCTCTCTCCGCCCCTCTCCCCCGGACGCGCGGGTATCTCCCTCTCGCAACTTTGTCGCCGCGACTTTCTCCGCTGTCAGGCCATACAAAAGTGTCCGAGCGCCTCGAGGACCGCGACAAGGGAAGTGTCTCTTCAAAGTGCGACCAAGTGGGGAAGAAGGTGAGTGGGGACTGTGGTTTTGTTTACCCCTCTCCCCCGCGATGCGCCCGGCTTCCCCGCCCTTCGGAGGACGGAGAAGCAATCCGGTGGCGAAGTTTGGCCAAGTTGTATCTCCTTTCCCCCCACCCCCGGGTTCCTTCTCTTTTGTTCCTTAAGGAACTTGCACAGATTGTTTTATTTGTTTATTTTTCATAGGCAAGAGCCAGGCGGGCATTTCTCTCAAGTGCCTCTTTATATGAGGAGCTGGGGGGATGGGGGAAGGGTGTCTCGAGGGGGGCATTGACTCGCCTATCTCCCAGCTGCGCGCAGACCCGAGGGAAGCATGCCGTGATGGTTGGGGTTGTGCCGGGTCTCACCCCCACCCCAGCCCTGACTTTGGTCCTGCGAAGGCAGGAGATCGAGAAGCTGGGGGCCCTTCCCTCACCGTTTTTATAACTTAACCGTCTGCGGAGCGCTGTGCCGATTCCTACGCACCATACCCAAAGCTACAACAATAGAACGCAGAAGAGGTGTGACTGGTAGGGGATGGGACCCTTGTGTTTGTGGTCCAGGGGTTTAGAGCGAGCTGGTAAGAGTTGAGAAAGTTTTCTTTGGGGCCGAGGTAGGGAGGAGGAAGAAGCCACAGGTTCTCGACTTGTCAGAGATGCAGGGATGCAGGGATGGGCCTGGACCACTAGTTAGGAGTCCGCCATCCCGTCCGCCCCTTTCAGTTTCACGACCCACCCAGGATAACCTATGCGGTCCTGGCCATCCAGCATCACCTCTCTCACTTCACGCGGCCCCCACCCCCGCCCCAATTTAACGCATTTGAGTAGAAAGGACCGCGAGCGCCAGAAGCTCCCCAGACCCAGCGGCCCGCCCCGCCTTTTGTGTTTTAACCTTTTGTTTCTGTCTGCCACGCCCGCCCCAAAGAGGGATGGCTGTTGGAGCTTCTTCTGGGTGGAAACGCAGCGCGATTCCCTCAGTGTTTACGGGCACAAGGAGACTCCCTAACTTTGTTTCTTAAGTACCGTCACTTCCCAGTGTTTCTAGGTTGGTTCTGGCTCAGATGAGGCAAACTCTGCACCACTGGTACACTTCTCCACTTTCTAGGACATTTCTTTCAGCCCTTTCGCACTTGACCACAAAAGTTGTTTATCTGCCCCGTCCCTTGGTTCATAAAAAGACATTTAGGGACAGAAGTTGAGAGTTTGTTGAAAGTGTACAAAGGTAGCATGTTCTAGCCATGTTTGATTACTGGGAATGTGTGGAACAGGGCTCCTGAACTGGAAAATGCAAATTTAGGTCATTATCTTCAGGTTTGTTTTGTGAGATGGTTCCAAATACCAAGGCGATTTATCACCGCTCTCCTCTCCTATCCCCACCCCACACCCTTTGGCTTTATCTCCCGCCTTTTACGGTTTGACAGGACAGATGAACCATCAAAGTGCGCTGGCATCAAATAACTGGAGGAAACAGCCAAAGACTGTCTATTTGAACTTCTTAAAGTTATGATTTTGTGTAGGGTATCCATTATTAAAACCTGCAGCGAGAAATGATTCAGCTGCCAGAACTATGCGGGTTTTGAATTTTCATGTCAAAGAAAGAAATCTATTAATGCTAAAGTTACTTTTTTAAAAAAAGAAGCTGAGTGTGCAGAATGACTTGGAAGCTGACACTAATGAATTTCAATTGTACAGGTGTGATTACTGTGGTCAGCATCTAGAAAACATCAGAAGTGCTCCCACCTCCTTCTCTGCATCCTTCTTACTGGATCTTTCTGTCAGTGAACATTGTGGAAGTACCATTACCACATCGTCATTCCTGAATGAAAAGTTGCCAAACTTTTTTCTTTGGAGTTGCTTCAAAGTTGTTGGGATTTTTGATGATGCCTTCCCTATGTGGATTACTACTGTTTGATCACTGGGAATTGTCCATCTTAAAGAAGGTACGTTGCTTTTTAAATACTCTACAGGCACTTTGTTTGGGAGATGATGCTTACGCCTTTAGAGAATTTTCTAGTTATTTTGAGCTGTTGCCTGTTCAAAGTGATTTATGACTTTAGAGTTCCTTGTTTTGTACTGGTTTTTGTAGGTTCCCTTTCATTTGGGATGATGATTTGGTACTTCTAAGGAAACTTTATTAATTTGACTGTCTTCGACATTATCACTTATCATGAATATGGTTATATAGTTACAAAGGAAAGTTATGTAACAATGATGGGTCTGATAGGCAGGTATCCATATATGACTGATTTTGCTTTTAAATACCACAGCGAACATTTCTATAGTAACAGGACTTCTGTAGTTTGCATTCATTTTGGACACTCTTGATATTTCATTTTGATAAATAAAATCCAAAAGTGGCCAGAAGGAAATGAATTCCTACTAGCTGGGGGTTTATATAAAGTATAGTAAGTTCTGTCAGAATAAAAACTTTACTATGTAGTAACCAACAGAGGCTGAACATTTGTTTAATCTTTATGATACACATTAAGTTTTTATAGTGGTCGTTAAGAGTCTTATATTCCTTCTTTTACATCTTATAATTCATTCTTCATCATCTCTGTGAGAAAGCCATTCAAAGTTCACATGAATACTGTTGGTAGTATAAAAAGTATTTTGATACAGTATTTACTTCCCTTGTTCAGCAGTTGTGTGTCATGAAAAGTGAGAGTTTTCTTTGTTTAGGCTAGGTTGCTTTGAAATTATTTAAGTTTAGGATTTGATCCTCAAAATGATTCAAGTTCAAGGTAGCTTTAAGTGCTACAATTGGAGAATATCATTGATATATTACTGTAACTGAGAAATGATAAGGTCAAAAAGATAATTGGGAATTGGAAATATTTTTATCCTGCTGTAAGTAAAACATCTTATGATTAGCTTCTTATTTAGTTGTAGAAACTTAAACTACTTCACCTGCCTGGACTTTGGTTTATCATCTATTCAATGAAGGATTAGTTTAAATAAACTTGGAAGAACTCTTTTAGCTCTAAGGTTTTATGATTTGTTGATTCCTTCTATAATTAAGGAGCATCCTCACTTGGGAAGTTCATTTTTAATTGTTCAACTGATAGAGTTGAACATCATAGAGTTACTGATGTGGAAAACTTGTGTGTATTACTAACAATTATTTTCCTATAACTGTTTAGCTCAGGGAATATTGGATCAAGAAATAGGCTTTACAATTTCTGTGAAGTATACTTTCAGCAAAGTGCATTGTATGAAGATGTCAGATTTCCTGAAACGTTTTCAGCAAAAGTTTATCTGCTGGAATGTTCTGAGGGGCTCTAAACTGCAGTATTATTTCCCAGCAAATATTTTACCTACAAATGTATAAAGTGAATATGTTTGAATCTGTTCTAATGGCTACCCAGTGTTGGGCTCAGAGGTTTAGAAACAGACTTTGCGATGAAACAGACTCGAGTTTTAATCCTCATCTTGATAACCTGGGCCAGTTTATTAGCTTTCCTGGGGTCTCAGTTTTCATTTGTAAGTGGGGAATCATAGCACTTATCCCATGAAGTTACTGTTGTGGGGAATGTATTTTTAAAAACCATATGTGTAAGAAAAAACTTAGCGAAGGGGTAAGTATCTGTAAATATGTTTAGCTATATTAAAAAAACCTACTACTGTTGCCTTTCATAATGAATTGGTGATGTTTTGATACTTTCAAGTTTCTTTGTTGACTGCCTTGCAAGTTTTAAGCCACATTAACCATAAGTATTCACGGAAGTATTCAAAGTCAATTTGGATGGAAGTTTTCACATGTTAAGATAAGTTTTTTTTCCTCTAAAATTATATTCTATTAGAGCCTTTTATTCAGGTGAGTGTGGATTAATTCACCTCAACAAACACTTATTAAATCTTGTTATGTATAAGCATGTTGCTGAAGGTCATGACTTCCTCTTGGACTATGTGGCCTTTCCTGTTCCTTACAGAAATTTCTGTAAATTGAGATAAGAGCAAGTGTCTAGAATTGATTTATACAAATTCTCTATTTTCAGTGAGGGGTAAACTTATAGTTTAAAAAATTTTGTTTGTTTACTTTTTAGTTATGATATAAAGTGATGGTTCAGTGATTTCTTGATGAGGAAATCAAGAACCACAGTGCATTTTCTGATATTAGTTTTTGATAGAATGGTTTTTATTTAAATTGAAAACTCACAGTATAAACAACACTTCGAAGAATAGCGTATCATTGTGAAATGAAGTTTAAAGTCTTGGATTTTCATTTTCTAGATCTGTAATTTAGCAAAATACATCGCCATTCCTGAGTGATTATTTAGTTTGAGGAAGATTATATTCATTTACCCTTAGGAAGTTTTTGGTGAGCATGTTAAAGTACTGCTCCTTCTCCTTTGTAATTTACCAGCAGATAGTTGCCTTAAAATGATAACTAAAAAGAAAAATGTGGAATAAATCAATATTAAAATGGGAAAAGTTTTTTTTCTAGATGTATCCACAACTTTCTGTTTGTGGGCAACATCTGTTTTAATCAGTAAATTATATTCATTAGTATAGCAACTACTAATATAATTGTAATTACAGCATTTAAAAGTCATGCATTCCTTAAAGTTTTTCTATGTGATGTAATTCTTAGGCTAGAACAAAGTATACTTAATTACCTTAAGTATCCAATCTTATAGTTTTGGTTTTTTAAAACTGTTTGTTGACATGGATTAGTTTGAGTTATTGAGACCAGAAGAATCTGCCAAGGTACTCGTAAGAAACTTAAATAGGTGGGAAATCTTAATGTTCAGCTCTGCCTTCCAAAATTATAAATGCAACACATACTAGGCATCTGATAAGTAAATGAAAAGCAAATTTTCTGACTTTTGTCAATCATTTCTAAGAACTTTGATGTTTTTTCTGTCCTTTATTGTTGAAGATACGGGTGGTTAGAAATACATGTATCACGGACTTGTGAAGCCTATTTTGTGTATTTATTCCTTCCTCATTCGTTCTTATAAGTAATATGGCATCTATGTGTCAGGCATTGCTCTACGCACTAAAGATACAAAAGAAATAAAAATTCTGGTACTGTTGGAGCTTTTACTACTGACAGTAGAATATTCGTTAAAAGACGCCAAATACTATTGAGAAAAAAAAAAAATCAGGAAAGAGCAGTGGGGAGTAGGAGGAAAGGATGGCCAGGAATGACCTCATGGAGAAGGTGACGTTTGAGGAATGATATAAAGGAAGTGAAAGAATGAGCCACGTGATATCAGGCAGGTGAGCATCCAGGCAGAGGCATGGCCTGTGTCTGGTTACCCATGGAAAGCAAGGTGGGAATAGTGGCTGGAGTAGACTCAGCAAAGAGGAAGGTGGTGGGAGGTGAGGTCAGAGAGGAAATAGGAGTGTGGTGAGCAGATCACATGAATCCTTAAATCCCTTTGTGTCTCCCTGAGGGAGACAGGGTACCATTGAAGGGGTTTAACCAGTGATTGACCTGATAAAAGTAATGTTGTCACACGATTACTCTGATGGGTTTATTCAACAAGATCAAAGATGGACAGGGCAGAAACCAAGAGACCATTTAAGAAGCAATTTCAGTTGTCAAGTGAGAGATGATGGCAACTTGGACGAGGATAAAAGCAGCACGGAGCTAGTGAGAAGGGACCAGATTCTGAAGATACTTTGGTTGGAGAATTTTTTGGTGGATTGGTTAGAAAGTATGAGAGAAAAAGAGGCATCAAATCTGAAATTTTTTTGACCCAAACACCTGCATGGACCCAGTGTTCATGAACACAGATGAAGTGTGTCCTTGGGATGGGGGAGACTAGGAGCTCAGCTTGGACACATTAAGGTACTTTTTTTTTTTTTTTTTTTAATTTTTTATTAGTTGGAGGCTAATTACTTTACATCATTACAGTAGTTTTTGTTATACATTGATATGAATTAGCCATGGATTTACATGTACTCCCCATCCCAGTCCCCCCTCCCACCTCCCTTAAAGCATCTCTAGGCAGTTTAATACACAGGTTTGATTTGGGGGGAAGAAATCTACAGATCCAAATTAGTGAGTTGGAAGAAATTAAATACTGTTTAAAGCCATAAGAGTCGGTGAGATCACCAAGGGAGTGAGTATAGAAAGGAAAGCCTTGGGGCTAGATTTAGAAGTGGTAGAAGCCCAGTGAAGAGAGTGTGTCCAGGAAGAAGGCAAGGTTGTCTGGGTCACGTGCTGCTAATGGATTGAGCAAGATGACAGTTGAGAATAGACCTTCCAGTTTAGGGTTTTGGGAAGTCAATGCTCATTGGTAGTTTTGTCTAGAGCTGTTTTTATAAATGGTGAGAGATCATATCTTTTTTTCTAATTTGTGTGGTCCATTACCTATTTTCAAAAAGTCTTCTTTATTCTAAATAAAATTTGTCAGTTCTTTATAATTAATAAAATGCTCTCACTGGGACTTCCCTGGTGGTCCAGTAACTAAAACTCCCCACTCCCAAGGCGAGCAGCCTGGGTTTGATCCCTAGTCAAAGAACTAGATTCTGCATGTCACAACTAAGAATCAACGCAGCTAAATAAATAAGTGTTTTTTAAAAAAGTGCTCTTACATATGTTATCTTAGTTAAGTCTCATGATCTTGTGAGAGATGGGATAATAATATCTACGTTTATCTTACAGAAGAAGAAATTGAGACTCAGGTGTCTCAATTTGTTCAGTCACCCAAATATAAGCTAGGACTATATTTTAACTTTGTACCCTTTGCCATTCACAATAGGGGCGACAGTCATTAAACAAAACAGAACAAAACAAAAACGCTGGTAATAATGCTATATACAAGGTATAGGATCAATTCAGGGCAGAGAGTGTCTTTTGGGATCAGGGAAGACTTTCCCAAGTTGGAATTTAAAAGATGTCTAGCGTTTTAACATGGAGTCAAAGGGAAGATCATTCTAGGCTTGGAGTGGGTGTGGAAAAATGTGGAGGGATGAGACATGGGGT